CACAGAAATATAAACTGAATTTATTTACCTAGATTTATAAAAAGAAATTAAGTGTTTTTTCCCTTCTTGCTTTTTTCTCAGCCAAGTTTTTCTTAAACAATTATTTTTTTTTAAGATTTATTTATTTATTTATACAAGCACTGGGCACAGTCAGAGGTGTGGGAGGGTGAGAGAATTCACCAGAGCCAAAGCAGAGAGCAGAACAGGCAGAGTGAGGAAGGACACCGCTGAGGGGAGCAGTGGGAGGTAGGAGAGGTCTGCGCGCCATGTGGGACCCTCGCCTGGCAGCCGGGGATCGAACCGGTGCTGCAGAGGCTGTGGGCAGCCTCGCAACCCAGTGCTCAACTGCTGCGCCACCGTGGAGGCCCAAACAATTATTTTAAAAGAAAATCTTCTGTTGCATCACCTAGCCATTGTATGACGAGTGAATCTGAAAGTCAACTTTAACAAAGGAAGAATGGGAGCTAAGACTGGGCCTGACGCCTGGAGTTAACAGCAAGAGATGGTCAGACTTTGGGGAAGGCTGCCGGAGCCCTGACCATCTCCTGTGGGGTAAGAACATTGTTCATTATTAATCTCAAGCAGGTGCTCTATGCTCCCAAACTGGGAAATGTGGTGAATAGCTTGGCCTTGATTCTCCTCCAGCAGGTCAAGGAGGCAGAAAGCAAATGTCCTTCTCACTCCTCCCGCCATGGCAAAGGTCAGCTCACTTTCACAAATGGCAAAGGTGTCTGTGACCACGCAACTCTGAATCCAATCCCACCTCCGAGGAGAACCTCAGAATAGAAGAGAACCACCTACCTCCATGTCCTGCCCACACAGAACAGCAGAGGTTTGGGTGTTCTGATGTAGGGAAACGAATAATTGTATGATTTATCATAATCTCTAACTTGGAAAAAGTTACCAGAAGTGAATCATTATTTCTAGCTTATCAATACCAAGAGCTGCTTCTAATAACACAAAGAACCAGAGAAGAAAAGAAAACCGATGGAGGTACTTCCCTCAATTATTATGCTTTGATAATGAAAATATAAACAAAAGCACAATTCTCTCAATATTCTTCCAAACTATAAACATGGGCCAGAATTGAAGCTAGGTATGTATGTGTCCTACGCGGAAAAAAACCTCAAGTCCAAAATTCAAATGTCTAAAACAGAAACTCGTGGCTCTCATTATCCTCTACTCTCCATAGGAAAACCTTAGTGGAACCCATTAAGACCCAACCACATATCCCAACTACAAAATAAAGCTGCTTTAAATACAAAGATACACATAGATTAAAAATAAAGAGATGGAGAAAGATATAATTTGCTAATATAAGTTAAAACAAGCAGAAGTAGCTATATTAATTTCAGACAAAGTCAACTTCAGAACAAGGAAAATTATCAGGGTTAAAGATGGTCATTAATGGTAAAGGGCTCAGTTCTCCAAGAAGCTATAACAAGCTCTGATGTGAATGCACCTAGCAACAGAGGATCATGAAGCACTGACAGAATTGTAAGCAGAAATAGACAAAGCCACTATTATAGTTGGAGACTTCAATATCCCTCTATCAATAACCAACAGATGCAGGAAGCAGAATATCAATAAGGACATACTTGAGCTGAAGGCACCATTAATCAACTGGATTTAATTTACATTTATAGAATACTTCATCAAACAACAGATTACACACTCAAGTTGAGATGGAATATTCAGGAAGATAGCACACATCCTGCCATAAATCATATTTCAGCAAACATAAAAGACATGGAATTAAACCAGAACTCAATAACAAAAAGGTAGTTGGAAAGTTCCAAAATAAATATCTGTAAATTGCATATCACTCTTCTAAATAATACATGGGTTAAAAAAAAAAAGTCTCAAGAGAAATTTTAAGGAATTTGGAAATATTTTAGAAGGAAAATGAAAACACAACTTATCAAAATGTGAGGAATGCTGTAAAAGAAGGGCTTAAGGGAAATTTTAAAAGCTGCAGCCACCATGGGGAAAATTTGGCAGTTAATAAACAGAATGAAAAAACTGAACATGCAACTACTTCCAGGATCCAGCACTCTTGGAAACTGTACTCCACATAAATGATTACTTATGTCCACACAAAATCTGTACTGAAATGTTTATAGCAGTTTAATTCATGATGGCCACAAACTGGAAACAACTCAGATGTACATCAACACAAGGAATGATTAAACTATGGTATAGCCACACCTGGAATACTATACAACAATAAAAAGGCACAAACTGGTATTGTGTGTAACCACCTGGATGAATCTCCACAGCACTTATGCTGTATGAAAAAAGTCAATCTCTATAATTTCATACTGTATCATTTTATTCATGTAAGTCTTGAAACGATAAAATTATAGAAATATATAACAGATGAGTGGTTATCAGGGGTTAAAGAGGAAGTGGTGGGGTAAGGAGAGATCAGAGGCAGGAAGGGATTGTGACAGAATCTTAGTGGCTATAACAGGGTGATATGAGAGATCTTTGTGGTGATGGAAATAATTTCTTGATTCTGTCAATAATAATATCTTGATTCTGTCAATACCCTGATTGTAACTTTGCATGCACTATAGTTGTATAAGATATTAACATTGACATAAAGAGTAAAGAAGACTCTCTCTGTATTGTTTCTTACAGCTACATGTGTACCAATAATATCAAAATAAAAAGTTTAAGTGTGGGTTACATGGGTGTATGCACTAGTCAATACTCTTTGATTTGTATCCTTAACATCTGTGCATTTCACTGTAGAAAACTGAGTCTCAATTTTAAATATGATGTAGCCTCCGAGATACCTATTTTACTGCTTTTTAATACACTAGAAGAAAAGAGTGTTCCTAAGGAAGCTGAGGTTCAACTTGTTAATATCGTAACTTCTCATTATACTTCTCTTGTGTGCTCTTTAGAGACTTTTGTCAACCTAACTTTAAGAGAGTTCAATATATTATTTCTGCTTTCTAATCATATAGTCTTGGCTCATTAGAGTATAATGCTGAAATATATCCAGATGGATTCCTCTGTATTTAAAGTAACCCGACTCTCCCACTACTTATATTAGTATACACATATATGAATTAATAGCAATGGTTTATTAGGAGATGGAATGTTTCATAAAAGAAGTCATCTAATATTTTGAAACAAAACTGTATATTATAACATGTACTTCTATTAATGCACTACAGCAATTTCATTTACTGTTAGGTATAACATTTACACATTATAAAGTCTTAAAGCTACATCTAATAAAATAAATTTTAAAACAAAAGATGTTGATCAAAAAAAGCATTTTCATAAAGATTCTTAAGTCAATGGGAGCTTCTTACTCTATTAATCATTAGTAACTTAGAATTTCAGTTATTTCTTGAAGTTTAATATTTTACAAATTCTGTTTTAAAGATGAGATTTCCGTGTAGCTATCAGCAGAATATTCTTCAGTTTTTTAATGATCCAAACAAAATATCCTTTCATTGCAACACAAATATATTTCCCACAGGTAACTCGGGATATTAGAATCATAAGATATTAAAACTAGGAGGTCCTTAGAAACATTTTTTTCTTCAAACTAGGAGGAAAATGCAGCTTGGAAAAATTAAGTCACTTGCCAATGCCAGGAACAGTTTCTCATTTAATACACAGTCAGCAATTAGCTGTACAGCCCTATTAGTGACTGGGGACACAGCAGAGAACAAAAGGGGCAAAACTGGCCTCAAGACTTTATATTCTAATGATGGGAGAAAGGCTAATAAATAAATACACAGACCATCAGAAAGATGTAAGTGCTGTGAAGGAAAATAAAGCAGAGGAGGGCCGATGTGTTGCAGATGGAAACTGTCATTTTACATATAGCCTGGTCTCCAAAGGCCTAAGTAATCAAAGGACATCTGAGCAGATATAAAAGAAGTAAGGAGGAGGATCACACAGACAAAGGGCAAGGAACTTTCTCTGCAGAAGCAACAAGCAGTGTGAAGGTCTGAAGGACATGCATACATGGTCTGTTCCACAGCATGAAGGCCGGAGTGACTTAAGCAGAGCTGGGAAGTGGAAGTTGATGATACCATTGAAGGATCACAGGACGGATCCAGGAAGGGCAATGCAAACCTTCGTAATGACTTGGTTTTTACTCCGTAAAAGTGGTTTTGAAGTTTTTAGAGTAGAAAGGTAATATAATCTAACTTTGGTTTATGTGAAGAATAGAGAACAGAAAGGTAGGAACAGAGACCAGTTAGGGAGCTTTGAATAATCCAGGAGAAAGCTGCTTGGGCTAGGGTGACGGATATAATAGGGCTTGAGAAAAGGTATCCTGTATATATTAAGATATTTGAAGAAAAAATGTTTCAAAAATTTATTTTGAAGGTAGAACCAAGAATGAATAAATGGCAGAGGTTGGCCTAGAACCCAGATTTCTGATGTTTAAGTGTTCTTTTTGACACATCATGTTGCTGAATTATTCTTTAAAGTTGAAGAGAGTATTCCCAGGAAATTTGATGTTTGAATATTAATTTAAGATCAGAATTGCAATTTTTTGCATGATGTTGAGACAGTTCACAATCACTACATCAGGAAAACTTTTATAATTAATTGACCCATCAGAAAAAAGGAAATTTCAATTAATGAGCTTTTTAAGTCACTGTATTGATCACAGATTTAAAGTATTAGTCAAAAATGGTACTAAGGTTGGGCCTCTCCGGTGGCGCGGCGGTTGAGCGCTGGGTTGCAAAGCTGCCCGCAGCCTCTGCAGCGTCGGTTCGATCCCCGGCTGCTCCCCGGCCACCGGAGGAGGGTCCCACATGGCGCGCAGACCTCTCCTGCCGCCCGCTGCTCCCTCAGCAGTGTACTTCGGTCCTTCTGCCTGCTCTGCTCCCCGCTCTGGCTCTGGTGAATTCTCTCACCCTCCCGCGCTTCTGACTGTACCCAGTGCTTGTATAAATAAATAAATAAATATTTAAAAAAAAAAAAAAAATGGTACTAAGGTTAAGATAAAGCAACAAGTAGGTTCTTAATGATAAAGATAAACCTGCATTAGAATGAAAATCTGTCCACATTAATCACCTATAGAGGCTATATCCTGCCTAAGTTCATGTGCAAACATAGTTTATTAAAACCATTTTTGTGTTCATTAAGAACGTTTTTCAGGGCCTCCCTGGTGGCACAAGGGGTTAAGCACCACACTATGAAGCAATCCGTGGCCTCTGCAGCACAAGTTCAATCCCTGCCCAGCCAGGGAGCAACCCACATGGCGCAGCAGACCTCTCCTGCCTCACCTGCTGCTCCCCTCAGCAGTGTACTCTGGTCAATCTGCCTGTTCTGTTCCCCACTCTGTCTCTGGTGAATCCTCTCACCCCCCGCATCTCTGGCCTGTACCCCAGCTCTTGTATGGGTAAATATTTAAAAAAAGGGAACATTTTTCAGATATCAAGCTTTATACACTACATATCATCTCTCCATGTATATTAGATGACAAATACATTGCTTTGTGGGTAATTATATTTACCTACAGCATAATTCAATAAACTCCTATCTTCACCCTTTTCATCTAATGCATGAAGTTCAAACACCCTGAGGTGCCGTGAGCCTTGCTAGGAAGAACAGATGCAGGTGGGCTGGATTTCAGCAGAGGGATGAAGTAGCATGTGAGCTCCTAACTGATCATTAGCAACTCTTCCTTCTTGCCCTACTTCACACTTCATCAGTCTACAAATTCTTATTAGTGTTTACATGAAATATCTAATCAGCGCACTTTTTCACAAGGGTGTTACAATTTTATTAGGGTAAATTTTAATCATTCATAAAATTAGAATACAATGCATACTATTATATATACTCCATCTATGTATATATCTCATTGCTGAACCATTTGAGAGCATTTTATTGACATCACACCCCTTAACCTTGGGATGCATCTGCAGAAAATAAAAATATTCATCCTACACAACCATAATACTATTATCATACCTAAGAAAATAAATGTTTTTGGCATCTATCTAATGTACACCCCATATTAAAATTTCCACAAATTTTCCCTAAATCTTTTCTTTTTCAATACAGAATCCAATCTAGGTTCATAGTTTAGATATGGTTGTGTGCCTAAGCCTTTTATTTATTAATTTATTGGCTTGTTTTATTGTCATTTAAAAACAACTTTTAAAACACAATTTCTCTGCCAAAACAAGAAAGAAAAAAAGAAACAGACCCACAGAAATGGGACTCTTTGATATTCTGTAGCACATGTGTCTGGAATTCGCAGGCTCTGGCCTAGCTTAAGATGCCAAACTCAGGTCAACACAATATTCAAGAACACATGATGGGAGGCTATACTCTTAGTCTCTTTTACTATAGAACAAGATCCCTCTTTTTTCTGTTATTGACCTGTGTGTAAAAGAGTGTGTTATTTAGGTTCTATCTGGATTTGTCTGATTGTTTCTTCATGATGGAATTTAGTATGTGTCTCTATCTCTGTGTTTACTATAAACTAGATGATAGTGCTAAAGTCTTAATTATATTCAGGCTTAATGTTTTTGACAATAATTCTTCATAGGTAGACTAAAGAGTCCCCCAAGTGCAGAAGAAAAACACAATTAAATTCTTACAATCCAACTACCCACTTTCCACAACCAGTAAACCTGCTGACACATGTTATTTTGTCAGCTTTTTCATCTAAATATACTTTTATTACAATTTCACTATAGGCCACAGATTGGTATATGTATGTATTTCAGGTAAGCTGTTCCCTAACAATATATGGGAAAGCAGAATAATCACATGGATGGGCTGCCTCCAAATACAAAATGGCATTGATGCAATTTAGACATTAATGACTCCTAATTCCAAAGGGCCCTGGTATCCTGAACCTTATCTTCTTGACCTTTTTCTTCTATTATCACATCTGCACTTGTCTTACTGGGGTCTATAGCACTGAGATGACTAAACACAAATACTAGACATGAACATATAGTTCCATCATATGCCTAGCACAAGGCTTATATAATGGATGGCTAAATATATCCCCATAGGAAGTAAATTTAAAAATACAGATGCTTTATTTTTAATAATTGTATTTTTATAAGAAAAATAAGAGTATGAAAGTGAAAAATTATATATCAGAAATTATATATAAGGAAATTACAGAAATAGCATCTATAACCTACTCTTGGTCAGCTCAGTAGTTCTCAAGGGTCTCAGGCTATAACATATCGGGTAAGTCCTCCCCCTCGGACCTCTGATAACCTCCTGCAGTGTCGTAAAATATTCAGTATCACATGAAACCTCTTGTCAACTTTCAAAGCTGTGAACTCCTTGATGTCAGCTTCCACTATAAAATAATGACCTGAAAATAAAGATATTAATGCTAATTTTTATAAGAACGATTGCATCCTCAAGGCACTGAATTATAGACATGAATGGCATTAATCATTTTTACTATCATTATCCAACCAAAGTGAGAACGGATATTCATGTTCAAATAATAATTATTCTATCAACTAAAGTTGCATAATGCTTTCTATAGCATTTCACTAACTACTTGTTAAGGAGGTTTTGAACAATTCACTTTTTAAGAAGCTACACGATACAGTGGTTAAGGGAAACCCACAGCAGCTCTACCACTTAACTGTCTGACCTTGAGCAAGTAGAGCTCTCTTGACTGCCTGCAAAAGGACATAACTTAGAAAATATCAGTACACTATGTGCCCCAAAGAAAGGGGGACCAATTGGTCTCATTACTACTCTAATTCTCAAAGCATTGAGTTAGTCCCATAATAGACCTTACAGCACTGTTTTTCAGACTCAACATTAAAACATTTGGGACCAGATAATTCTTTTTCAGGAGTCACCTTGTATATTTCCCAGGTTTCTATCTACCAGGTGCTCATAATAGCACCACCAAATGCAATTTTAACAGCCAAAAATGTCTTCAGAAAAGGCCAAATGTATCCTGGTGGGAAAAATACCCATGTTGAGAACTACACCTTTAGAATTTTCTAGAGTTGGCTTTGTTTCTCATGATTTAGTTACACTCCAAACAGTTGGCATGCACATATATATATGCTATCCCTTATGCTATACCTTTGGTATCCTTCGTTTCTTCATCCATAAATCTGTGATAGAGATTTCTGGCCACAGAACTCACAGACTTTTTTGGTTGATGTAGAATCTTATATTTTCCAAGTATTGCCTTGTTCATTTCTTTAATAACATCATTAATTTGACAGTAGGTTAAGCGGGATTTCATGTATCTGTAAAGCAGCATATGACCACATTTTTAAAAAGAATCATCATACAAAATTACTTTCTCTGAAAAACATTAAATATGAGGACTTTATATAGTGGCAAAGCTATTAGTGTTCTTTATAAAATATTTTTTGTCAGCTTCCAAGTAAACCTGATAAGTCTCAACAGCTAAAAAGTTAAAGAGACCAAAATGGATCATGTTCCCCAGTGATACAGATACATTAATCTCTATTCTCTACCTACAGAATTAATATTACAATTTAAAACAAGCTCTCAAATTCTGATTCAAATTGATTGATCAACTGCAAGAGTTTATGTAAACATTTTTTAATGTTGGTGAGCAAGAGAAAGGAAAATGTAATCATAAATAAATGATACACTTTAAGTTTTCTGCAAAAACTATTCAGAGAGAGAAAGAAAAGGCAGAGGCTGAGAGGAAGATAGAGCAGAGAAGATGACAGTGCAGTGGGAGACTAAGGCCTGAGGGCATAGGACAGGGAAGGATGAGGGGGGTCTAAAGTTAAGCTGCAAGGTGGAGAACCAGCATGTAGTCACGCTTAACTTTATTACCCAGCTCAAATTCCCTTCAAGCACTGTCTCTACTCTAAATCCCACTCTTTCAATTCCATTTCACTCTTGCCTGTTATACTGGTCACTCGAATCTTAGAATATAAAAACGTGTGTGTGTGTGTGCTAATTCTGAGCGATCTGTATACTTCAAAAACAAATAATGATCGGCCTTAATTTTTCCCTTCAACAAACTGCATGCATTCTGCTAATCTCTGTCCTTTGCCTCTATTCAAAGGGGCAGTTTTCTAATCAAAACTTCCTTAACATAAAATAATATAGACATATTTAAAGGAAAATGTTCTTATTTCCAAAAACACTTCATTTTTACAATTCCCTTCTTTTCTAAATTCATTTTTGCCACTGCTTTTTCAAACCATGATTTCCAGACTGTTGATACTGATAGAGGACAAGAATAGAAATACTGGAAAGGAGGTGCCCCAAGACCAAACTCTGACTCACACAAGGACGTGGGGGTCGAGGAGAATAACATGACCATTAACCCAGCCGTAGAGGTCAGGACCCTTAGGCACCAGTGCCTTATCACAAGGCATGAGACCCAAGCAGGATCAGACTGCTTTAGGGAGTGGAGCACAGACCTGAGGGTAAAGATATGGAGATTGAAACAACAAATGCTGGAGAGGATGTAGAGAGAAAGGAACTCTCCTGCACTGCTGGTGGGAGTGCAAACTGGTCCAACCACTACAGAAAGCTGTGTGGAGATTCCTCAACCTACTAAAGATAGAGCTTCCATATGATCCAGCAATTCCACTCCTAGGTATTTACCCAAAAGACACAGAAACATTAATTCCAAAGAGTACTTGCACTCCTATGTTTATAGCAGCACAATTTACAATAGCTAAGCTTTGGAAATAACCCAAATGCCCAAAAATAGATGACTGGATCAAGAAGATGTGGTACATATACACAATGGAATATTACTCAGCATTCAAAAAAGATAAACACATGCAATTTGCAGCAACATGGATGGCGCTGGAAGGGATCATGCTCAGTGAAATAAGCCAGAAAGAAAAAGAAAAATACCGGATGGTCTCACTCATAGCAGGAATCTAGAAAACCTAAATAAGGGACCAGGAAAAAGAATAACTATAAGAAAGAAAAAAATCAAAATCAATAAATGACTATGAACCAGAGACACACTTTGTGGGGGGTGCCAGGAAAGGAGGGATTGGGGTCAAAATCAGGGGGTTGCAATTGTATGGGAAATATAAAAATAAAAAAAAAATAAAAAAAAAAAGATATGGAGATTGGGCCCACCCTTGGAATCTCTGGTCCCTTTCTCGTTTTGCCTGTTATCCAACATCAGCAACAAGCAGGCTACTCCATGAAGGAGTGACTCCTCCCAAAGAGAAATGGAATATATCAGTACAGTCTCTACACAGGCTCAGGCAGCACTTCCACTGCCCACCTGTGACTATGCAGGTGCCTTTTTTCACCAATTCTCTCCCTCTGCAAGGCAGCAGCTTCCTGCCTGCCTGTGACCTGTCAAGGCCGCCTGCCTGCAACCATGCAGGCCTGTCTTAGCAAAACCTGTCCCTTTTTCCTTTTCCTACTAAACCTGCTCTTGAAATATAACTAATGTCCCTGTCTCGTGGAGAAACTTACCTGGGGAACTCGTCACGTGCTGCTGAAATGGGAGCTCTGGTGAAATCTTTCCCAGAGTGAACCCAAGGACCCTGCACTAACTCTGTAAAACTTCATCAATACCACAGCTCTCCACAATGTAATTCCTTGAAGACCTCCAAACTATCACCTTAATTTCCTAAACACCTGCCCACCAACCAGTCAATGGTTTCCACTTTAATTCCATTTTCAGTTTTAATTTAAAATAAAATAAAAAGCCCCCATTCTTAGAATACATTCTTTTGCATACTAAGCTTCTAACTTCTCTCATTCATTAGATAACCCCTTAGTTTAAACATGAATACCCTGCTATGACTATTCTAATTTCCTTCCTGTATCTCTTCATGGAAGGATTTTCTAAAAAGTCTTCTATTCCACTATTCCTCACAGACATTCGCTCTTCCGTTTAGCTCAGCCAATAAGCAACAACAATAAAGAATTTAAAAAAAAAAAGCAACTGAAGAGATCAAGCAGAATTTTCAAAAATAAAGTTATCAGTAAAGGAAATGACCGAGTGATTTTAAAAATAGAAATTAAAGAGAAATGTTTGCCTCATTACTAGTCTCCAAATTGTGAAATATATATGCGAAATATGTATTTTTCAAGTGGCTATTAGGATATGAAAAGATGCTCCACATCATGTCATTAGGAAAGTGAAATTTAGAATAATGAGATATCATTATGCACCTATTCAAATAACTAAAATAGAAACAAAACTGGCAAAACTAAGTGCAAGTGAGAATGTAAAGCAACAGGAATTCTCATTCATTACTAGTTGGAATGGTACAGCCACTTAGGAAGACAGTTTGGCAATTTTTAACAAAGCTAAACATAGTCTTATCATGTGATTCAGCAATCATGCTCCTAGATATTTTAAATGAGTTGAAAACTTATGCCCATACAAAAACCTGTATATGAATATTTATAGTTACTTTATTCATTAAATTGCCCAAAATTGGAAGTAACCAAGATATCCTCCAATGGGGACTCAATAAGCAAATTATGATATATTCAAACAATGGAGTATTAGTCAGTTTCACAGTATAGTGTATAACTATTTTAGAAAAGATCAATATTTGAACATAGCATGTTATGATTAATATAATCAAGTTTTATAATTTAAGCATCATGTATGTTGATTATTAGAGTTGAACGCTAGAATTTCTTTTAAATACTTACGCAGGAATGGCATTAAACTCATCAGAAGTTAAAAATGGCATTTCTTTAATAATTTTTTGTTCTTTGGGGGGCTTCTTTGTGGGAGCAGTTTCCTCAACTTTGACCGGTTCTTGAGGATCAAGATCTGATACGTTAACACTACAGAACAGAGATACATAAATGCACAGGTCATCATCAGAAATCTGCAGCATTCTAGAAAATGCTCCCAACTGAAAATCATCAGTACCAAACATAATCCATTTTATAATTTTACAACCAACATTTTTTTCTATCTCTATCCCTACTGTTGATAAACATTTGAATAATGAAAACACCAAAAAATTAAGTTCCCTAATCTTCAGTAATATAATTGTATTTATATACTCAAAACATGGTGTATGTAGCATATATGCCTAAACATCTTCGTTAGTTATCTCGCTGGCTCCTCAAAATCAATAGGTGGAAAGTTGACCTTATATTAACCTCTAAACAGCTTCTCTTCCCTATTTCTGGGCATGCAAACATCAATTATTATCTTATACTCCTATTTTTCTAGTTTATTCAATCAGTCGCTGGCATCAGTCCCTGCCTGTTGCAGTCTGATTTTAGCTGCTGGCAATGAGCATGGGTCACCCCTGAATCAGTTCTGCTTAATTTTTTGGAGCTACTGAGAAGCCTAATATATTTCCTTACCCTCCTGGCAAATGGAGTCTATAAATAGACCATAGCTTCCATATTATTTAACTGCCAGGGAAGGAAGACTCCTGTTGTCACTGGCTTAACTGTTCCAAAAATGAGATAGGATAAAGGAGAGTAGATCCAATCTAGAGCAAGTAAATCTCAAGACAGATAGGAAGTGAGATTCCCGGATGATAGTAGGTGAGCACCAGACAGAAGGCAATCAAGCCTGACAGGCCATGTACCTGAGAGGTGGCAGGTTGTAAGGATCCTAACATGAGTATCCATGGTAAACATCGCTAATTTTTACCTGAACTCATCCTTACCATATGCTAAGGAAGCTCGTGACTTTTCCTTCATGTCCTGCATATGTATCAGCTGAAAATAACCATTTCAGTCTACAGCAAGGCTCTGTTTTGACCTAGCCCTAAAAGCTGAAGCTAGGTGACAGTAAGTATAGAAAAAAATTTCTCCTGTTCCCATGCCATGTTTCTGCTGCATGTCCAATGTCTGGCCCACAGTATAACCCTAGCAGGTATTCTACGATGACCTCCATTCCCAGCAATCACTCATGACCTTCCCATCTTCTTATAGGGAAACTGCAAGGTATGCTGACCTCTGTTGACCTTATCTTCCTCTGGAGACCTTCAACTGCCAGTGGTTAATAAGGCTGGTCTCCCACACAGTAAGATTCGCGCTTCCCTTTTAGTTCTCAGACTCAAGCAGTATATTATTTATGCATTATACATGCAAAGGTGTGATTATCATAAAAGCCAGGGCAGTGAATATCTCTTTAACAGAGGATCTACAGTAGATGCAGTTTAGGGTATTAGGAATGTCCTATTTCTTTTCTTTCCTTCTTTTTTTTTTTTTTTAAGAATGTCCTATTTCTTAACTGAACTGGTAGATACATAGATGTGTGCTTTTTATTTTTCTTTAATTGACACAAATAATACTTTTAATCACATTTCTGGATCTATAATACATTTTAAAGGTTAAAGAAATTAAAGCAGTCATGGAATGTTTTTACATACTCAGATCAAATTTTAAAAATATTTTGGTACAGAGGCCTGGAGAGTTGAGAGTGGAGGAATACTAGAAAGATAAAACACAGGAGTCCTCAAGTCAGAAACACAGAATGACAGAAGATCTCATTCCAGCCAGGCAAGGAGAACAGAAGGGAGGACAGAAGCAGACAAAACTTAGCAGAGGCAGATGGGTGGTTGAGGGCTGTGAGGGAGTAGACAGGCTGAAATGCTGGTTCCTGTCTTGGTAATAGAGGATAAAAGTGGCAGGTGTGGATGGGTGAGTGACAGGAAGCCAGTGAACTCCATCTTAACTATGTAAACTAGAAAGAACAGCTCATCATCAGAGTCCCACCTGGCAATTAAAAAAGAACTAGATGTCACACCCAGGCTGGAGTTGGACACCTGGGAGCATTAATAGGATGTCAGCTAATGTGCATAAAATGGAGCTTTAGAAGGAACAGAATGTGAGAGGCAGAGAAAAAGGAGGTTGCCACGTTTGAGAAGTTGGTTGACAATTAAAAAAGCACAATGGTAGTACAGAAAACAAAATTCTGAAACAAAAAGATGGACAGCAAAATGAAGTCTGAAAAGAATTGGGACTCAAGAGGGATTTTGACCTCTGTGACCTTCAAGCAATCAGTCCACAAGTGTGGCAGCAATAGGAGTCAAAATCCAGGCTTTGGGCCTCCCTGGTGGCGCAAGGGGTTTTAAGCACCGCACTATGGAGCAATTCACAGCCTCAGCAGCATGAGTTCAATCCCCGGCTGGCCAGGGAGCAACCCACATGGCGAGGAAGACATCTCCTGTCTCGTCCACTGTTCCCCTCAGCAGTGTATTTCAGTCAGTCTGCTTTTTCTCTTCCCACTGTCTCTGGTGAATTCTCTCACCCCCTGCATCTCTGGCCTGCTTGTATGCATAAATAAATAAATCTTTAAAAAAAAAAAAAAAAAAGCCGGGCTTTAGGGAATCTGGCAGAAAGAGGACACAAACATATATTGGCAGTGGATAGAGATAGGACTGAGGGGAAAAGCAGAGCTAAATTGTGCCTTTGGCTGTTTTTAAGCTGGGACCATCATGAAGCTTATTTTTACCCTTAGGCAATGGTTCTCAAGGGTCAGGGGAGATTCTTCCTAGTGGCCATCTAGCAATGTCTGGAGACCTTTTTCATTGTCACAACTGGGCAGCGGGAAAGGATGAGGAAATGCTTCTGATATCTAACTGGGATGTCCCTAAACCACCTGCTTTACAAAGAATTATCAAGCCTAAAATATCAATAGAAACAACAGGACAAACTCTGCTTTAAGGAAAAGAAATGAGAAAAAAATAGAAAAGAGAACCTGGAGACTAACCCTTAGAAAAGAGGAATGACAATTTCCTCAGTGATAGCAGGAATAGGAAACTGATGAAGACAGGTGGAAACATTATTTCCAGTGTGACAAAAGAGTGGATCGTCCCTAGCAAAACTGCAAGGATATGAAAAAGCAAAGACTTGAGGTATTTGTTTTCATCAGCTTATAAATCCACAATGAATTATAAATCAACAATGAATTATAGCACAATGAATTATAAATACACTTACACACTCTGAGTTACCGTTACTTGAGGCAAATGGGGAGGAATGTTTTCTTTGAGATGTTCCACAGCTTTGTAATCTTCTTCAAGAGATTCACAGAGTTCCTAAAATTTAAACAATGCTCACAAATATGCATCCACCCTGCCTGTGTTAAAAGACATTATAAAAGCACATGGAAGACTGAGCCACAATCACAATGATTACAATTGTTCAGAACACAGAATGAGGTGAAAAAAGCAATGAATGCAAAAATATATTAAAAGTTTTTTGGTTTTAAAGCTGGTTTGGCATGGCTATCTTATTTTTCTCTGCTGGATTTTTCTGAGAACAATTATCATCATATCACAACAGGCAGGGCTAACATTTAAGTCTTTCTAAAATACTATGATCTTGGGAGGCAACTAAAAAATACAGGGAAGATTTATGCATGTCATTCTGGTAAATTGCTTTTGTCTTAGCAAGTGCTTTTGTCTCAGCACTAGTGACAAAGCAAGTAAGGATGCTGACTAGAATGACGTCCATGGCTAACATGCATGCCATTTCAGCTTAAGAAACAATTCAATTTTATCATAATCTCTTGTTTTTCTTTTATCTTTCTTTTATCTTTTAACTTTCACTAATACTAGAGGCTAGGAATTTGCACAATTTAATAAAGAAAATATTCTGTTCCTCTGGATTCTAGCCATCTGAGTCTCAATAAAAATGTGAACAAAAATTCCAAATACCCTTCAATTCTGTGCTGAACACTCTCTGGACCCCACACCAAATCTGGGCATTCTCAGGCAGGTTAGAATTAAAACAAATACTGGCTTCTGGTTTGAATTTACATGCCATCTTTCTTTTAGAGAGTTAAATAATGTTCATAAATACTAATTTCATTTTTTGACTAACAGGCATAATCATGTCCACTCTTGTAGTTTAAGTCTTTGCAGACCTTAAGGATTATAAGGCTGAAAGGAGCCACAAGGCCAGCTTGTTCAGTCCTGTTACTGACCATGCTAACAGCTCTGATAACAGAATGAGGTAATCATTGTTCAGGTTAAGCATTTTCCCATCAGGAAGTATACAAGCACTTTTATTCATCATGGTCAATCAGAAAAGCCTGATTTAGAACAAGATATGCATGTGGATGAAGTTCAAGTTTTGCTCTACTCAAGAATCATAACATTTTACAGAAATAGAGAAATGCAGAAATTGAAGGACCTAAGAAATAGTTCAGTATGATCCATTATTTTTCAAAGGAGGACCCTGAGACTCCAGGAGGTAAAATGACTTTCTCAAGATGGCAGAGGGTGTTAAATGCAGCCAGGGTACAAATCTACATCTTCTCACCCCAAGGGAGGTGTTCCTTCCACACCACCCAACCAGGAGATCAATTTGTCTAAATCAAATCTACCAAGAATTATTTAGGAAATCTTTTTTAGTGAAGTTCAATTCTATTGATTACCAGCATGAAAAAAAAAAAAATACTTGAGAAGCTCTAGAGTACTTTATACTGGAAAAATGCAAATGGCACGCTATACCATTCATAATGTAGCAGGCTAGGCTAGAATATTTTAATCTTAAAGAACCTTTAAGAATTCCCTGGTGATTTTGTATTTAGTCAATTTAGCTGAGGGTGTTTGAATTTATTGCTTTTTTGTTTCTTCACTAGAATATTCTATTACCTTGAGTGAACTGTTGGTTTGTTCTTGATACTGAATTTCCAATTCCAATTTATTTAAAAGTTCATTTACTACAATGATCTCATCTCCTATTTTATTTAATATAGTCATCAAGGTAGGTTCTTGACCTATTAATAAACAAAAATAAAATGGAAAAGTAAAGCATATGGTAAAGTCATAACATATATGTACCCACTGAACATCTGGAACACAGCTTAATGTTAAAGAGACACTTAATGTGGAAAAAGGACAATTGCTTCAGCCCCTAAGACCTATCTCCATCAATAATCTTAAAATCTTATTTTTTAGTCATTAGGCAATGGAAGAGGTATGTACCAAGTACCAGGTGTCTTCTGAGTCTTTAGTTTCTGGCAAATTTCTCCACTATAATAAAACATCTAGAAATACTGGAAAAAATAAATACCTTTCTATGTGCATGGCTGAGTTTTTGTGAGAATGAAGTAAATTCCAAAAAAAAGAAGCACTGATTAGGCACTAGTAGTTAGTTGACACTGTAGCTGCCCTAATCCTGGGAATGTGGACAATGCCGAAGAGAGGTCTTCAGTCTCAGAAATTTAATACATTTGGGTTTAAGAACTATAAACTCTGGGACTTCAAAGCACAGGGCATTGTACATCAGAATCCCAAATGAGGCCGAGACAGCATCATGAGGTGTATTTTCAGCAAAAAGTGCAAACTTGAAAATCCTAATCACAAGACAGGGAGATAAGCACAGATTGGCCCTCAGGTGTAGATGGAGGTAGAAAATAGCTTCTCTTCAGAATTTGTAAAAGAGGCTTGGGATTCTCAGGGCTTGGGGTTTTATACTTACACTAGGCAGTTTAAGTTACTGAGAAAGTAACTTGAAACATCACAGGTTAGTGAAAACTAATTAGTATGGAGGTGCCTGACAGTAACACAGTAACGTTTATAAAATAGCATCCTCTCCTACTGCCAACCCCACCTCCTTCCACCTCTCTAGTTTTATAGATTTGCGAATGAGAAATCAGTCTCCTCCCCAGAAATAAGATATTACTGGAATCTGTTTTACTTACTACAATTTCTTAATGAGAGGGTTTTTTTGATATTGCCAATCTTTTCATTAATATAAAAGCATAACTGTTCCAGATCTGAGGAAGTCATCCTTCAAGACTCTGAAGAAAAAAGATAAGACACATTTATTAAAAAAGAAAAATCTGGACAAATTTCTGTTCACTTTCCAAATCCAAGAATGGTAAATACCCAGTAAATCACATCACCCTGGAAATTAAAAAACTCAAAAGCAATTCCTTTCAATTCTACAAAACTCAGTTTCTAATGAAAATTCAGTACTACTTGTCTTAGAGCTGGTGTAATCAATGCATTCCAAACTTAGTCTAAACCTAAGTCACTTCCTTATAGACTGGGGAAAGAAAATGCACCATTTAAAGAAACTGGTCTTTTCTTTTTTTTTTTAAAGATTTATTTATTTATCTATACATACAAGCACTGGGTACAGTCAGAAGCGCGGGAGGGTGAGAGAATTCACCAGAGCCAGAGCGGGGAGCAGAGCAGGCAGAAGGACCGAAGTACACTGCTGAGGGGAGCAGCGGGCGGCAGGAGAGGTCTGCGCGCCATGTGGGACCCTCCTCCGGTGACCGGGGAGCAGCCGGGTATCGAACCGGCGCCGCAGAGGCTGCGGGCAGCTTCGCAACCCAGCGCTCAACCGCTGCGCCACCGGGGAGGCCCTGGTCTTTTCTTTAAAAACGCAAAAGACACACTATTTTTAACAACAACAAAGTAGAAAGTTCAAAGGAACAGGTCCAGGTAAGCATGTCTCCTGAGCGGAGGGAAGGAGGCAGCAGGGCAGAGGTTTGGGGCTTCAGTGTTTGGAATCTGTAAGAAGGCGGAGGGAGGGCAAAAATAGAAGCCAGTTACTGCGCAATCCGAGGGTAGATGAGACCTGGAGGATCCACTCCCGCTAAAACCTCAGGCAAGGTCAAGCCCTGCTCCTCCGTCCCGCCCGCCACGGCCCCGCACCCCACACCCGCCACCCCGCCCTTCTTGCGCTGCTTCCCAGGCAGGATCTTCAACACCGGACTGCAACCTCGCGCCGGTCCGGGAGCAAAGGGCCCATTACCTGCCAGTTCGCCAACCTGGGAGACCCGCGTTTCGGCCGGAATCTCAGGATCGCGAGACGCCACTCCAGGAACCAAATTCAAACTGCCCGCCGGGCCAGGGCGCGGCGCAGGCGCACAGGGGCGCTCCGGAAAGGCGGCGCGCCGGTGGCGTCACCGGTGCCCCCCCGCGGGGCGGGGCCGGGGCGGGCCGGGGGCGGGGCTGTGAAGGGAGGGGCGGGGCTGTGAGGGGAAGGGGGCGGGGAGGGAAGGGGGCGGGGAGGGAAGGGAGCGGGGCGGGGGAAAGGCTGGAAGGGGCCAGCTTCGGGCGGACGGCTGCGGGACCACCGTCCCTCTTCCTGCAGGTCACCTCGGTCGGTAAGCCGGCCCAGGGCCAAGCGCTAGGGGGCTCAAATGGCGAGCTAAAACAGTGGGTATCTGAATTGGCTACACGCTAGTATCAACTGAGACCACTTTAGCACGTTCCAGTGTGGAGGCTGTACCCCAAATCAATGAAATCAGGCCCTCCAGAAGTGGGGCTGTGGTTGTACCCCAAATCATTGAAATCGGGCACTCTAAAAGTGGGGCTGCGGTTAGGGCTGAGCCAAAGGCGGTGACTTGACCCCTGCCTTAATCTTTAACATAGCAGTTTAGTTTAATGCACTGTCACATTCCTCGCAGCATGGTTACAGGCTATGGTTACCAGTTACCTAATGCTTAACATATTTTGTCCCTTGATAACGTCAGTGACTGATGAACACTGTGGGCCATTTTAAACTGATACACAGAAGGGAGTGACTATTTCAGGAGGAGCATCCATAATCCTGTGACAACCTGCCCTAGACTATCTTGTGCCCTCCGAGACCTGAGAATGAAGACACTCACCCCATATCTCACATATCCTCAAATTCCTTTCTTTCCTATGTAATTGTCCTTCCCTGCCCAGTCAGGGAGCTGGCTCTTTAGAATGCTAGCTCGGCCTTGTCCTGAGTTGGCACCACTGGTTAATGAAGGGCTTCCTTTGTAGAAACAATCTGATGGTTTAGAATCTGAGCAATATGACCCAGTTAAGTCAGTAACGGGGCCAAAGCTCTGTTTTTCTGGGTTTTTGTTTTAAAGATTTATTTATTTATGCATACAAGAACTGGGGCACAGACCAGAGGTGCAGGGTGAGGGGGTGAGAGGATTCACCAGAGACCTAGTGGGGAGCAGAACAGGTGGGTTGACTGAAATACGCTGCTGAGGGGAGCAGGGACAGGAGAGGTCTGCTGTGCCATGTGGGTAGCTCCTGCTGCAGTGGCTGTGGATAGCTTCATAGTGCTGACACTTAACCCCTTGCTACACCAGGGAGGCCCAAAGCCCTGTTTTTTTAAAACACCCCAGATAATTCCAAAAAGCAGACAACTTTGTGAGGGAAAAGGTAAGGGCCCTTTCTTTATGAGGTTAACAGCCTCTCTAAGGGCAAATAAAAATTTAAAATACAAAACCCAAAAGTTTAATTTTACTTGTTAAAAGGAAAAGTTTCCCAAAGATGGTATGGCAGCTCCGCAGTCATTTAGGATCCAGGTTCCCTCCACTTGGCACTGCCATACATACCCTGATGCATTCTGGCCTTGCAGTTGCCTGAGGTGTGAGCTGACTCTGCCATTTCCCTCCTTAGGGCTTTGTCCCAGGCAGTAGAAAAGAGGAAGAGGTCAGGGTAACAGGCTCATCTACCAGCTGATCCAGAACCTTTAAAGAGTTTTCCTGGGAGCCACACCCAGTGGCTTCTCTATGCTTATCACTTGTCACTTAATCTCCAGGGAAGACAAAAAAATAAATTATAAAAAAAAACCCAGGTACATTGTAGCCTCAGTAGATTCTGGGTATGACTAGCAACCTTGGATTGTTTCTTTTAACAATCTTGTTTAAATGGAAAAATTTCCAACATATAAAGTCAGGAAAAGTAGTATAATGAACCCTGTACTCAAGCCATCACTCAACTTTGACCATTATTAATTTATCACAAATATTATTTCATTTGTACCGCCTTTCCTTCATTCCTTGCCCCTGGAATATTTTGCAGAAAATTTCAAACATTGTATGTTTTTCCTTCAAAAACATTTCTATATGTATTTCTTAAAGGTAGAACTCTTTAAAATTATATTAGTATTATCACATATAAATATTTTATCACTCCTAAATAACAAATATGCAGTCAATATTCACTTTCCCCTGATTGTATCATAAAACTGTTTAAGGACTAAAGAAGAAAAAAAATTAGTTTGAATCACAACCAAAACAAAATTTCCACATTATTATTTGATTGATACTTTAAAAAACATCTCTTTTAATCTCAACATACCTACTTATTTAGAATTGAAGTCCTTTAGAATGAACAAAGTCTTTCTTGAGTAAATATAAGGCTTAAAATGTCAATATGCTAGGAAAAATAGCAAAGTAACAGAAGTTCACCTTGCAGCATCAAGAACAAACATATTGTTTTTCCCAGATTATTTCCCATGAGAAAATAAAGAAGAAGAAAGGAGCATTAAAGACACTGAATACAAGAGGAGATGAAGGAGATGTAGAAAAAAACAGAAATGAGCAATTGGATCACACTGGCTACTTCATATTTCTTTCTAGGACCAGATGATTTATCAGGACTTCTTTAATTACAATGACAGAAAGTCAATCCAAATTGACTTAAGCAAGACAAGAAGACTTTATTTGCCTTATAAAACTGTAACTGTGGTGTGTGAGGGGGTGCACGTCTTCAGTTACAGCTGGACATGTATGACTTAAGTCATCTCCATCTGTCCATCTCTGTCTATGTCTCTCAGTTCTGCATTCCTCTGTGTTGGTTCCCACTCTCAGGCAGGCTTTTCCCCTTGATGACTTCTGGTATCTCCAGATTTATACCTGGATTAACCTGTCAAATTCCTAGGAGATCTAGCAAAAAACCCTGCATTGCATCACATTGGCCTGACATTGGTCATCTGTCCACTTCTGAACTAATCATCCTGTTTACAGGGTTGGAATAGTTTGACTGGCTAGACACTCTGAAACTGGATGTCAGGGTGAATGCTACCCACATTTTCAGAGTAAGACGGAAATATCTTCTTGAAGGAAAAACTAGGTGTTTTTATGAGACAATGGAGACAGTATTGGAAGCAGGTAAAAATGAAACAAAAAACAAAACCTGTGTTCTTCAGAGTTATGATCACATATATACAAGAAAAAAACTGAAAAGAGCAAGATGTAAGAAATTGCAGAGCTGTTCCTTACAGAAATATGAGCAAGAGTAAAAGTAATGTGAACTGCGGAAAATGACAATAATATCATCAGTTGATATTTACTGGGCACTTACTCTAATTCAGACATTAATGTGCATTATCCTGCTGAGTCTTTGTGATATGCTTATGAATACTTACAATTATGACAGAAAATGGAAGCTCATAGTTAGTAACTTGTTCAAGTCAATAAATGGCAAAATACGCCCCTGACCTCAGAACCTGTTCTCTTTACCATGGTATCCTGCTGCCTCTCAGAAGCAAGAGGTCATCTGCCCCCATGTTTTGTGTATCTGAACTTAAGGACTCTCATTGCGTAAGCTCGGTCACATGAACAATTCTAGATTATTTATGAATTCCCAAGTTTTTGACACCCAACTGACTTTAACAATAAAGACTTTACTTATACTTTTTTTGTACTTCTTTGTCTTTTTCTTGCAGGTAGGTATCCAGTTAAACTTCTGGACATTGCCAACTCATATTTAAAAGGGATTCATTATAGAATAAAAATCAAGGATAACTAAGCAACAGGACTCTGCACTTCCAGGCCACTTGGAAAATATTTATTCCTCCAGTTTTGACAAGTGACTAGTGACTGGTTGGACCAGTACATTTTGGGACAGCTTCATAGCTCTCTGGTGCTGGTTGATCTTCCTTTGGGATGGTCCATTGTAAGAGATAGGGGAAGCTCTGAAATGCCACCTTGATTAAATGTCATAGGTTCGATCTTTTGGGGAATTATAACATCCTCAAGGTAGGTTGTGTTTTCATATTTCCTACTAAAGTGCATTTGTTTGACTTGTTTTGAAAAGCTGTCTTCCAGCTGACAACATTAAAATCTGAGACATGTACTTGTAATATATGTTCTCGTGGGTATCATTTCTTAATTCTCATTAGTTGTCATAGCAGCTGAGGTGAATCATCTGAGAAAATCAAACCCCTCACTATTACGACACCTTATACCCTAAGTCATTAATCATTCTGGTGACTTTGGAGGGTGTTTGCTTTTTAAACAAAGAGGACAGTAAAAAGAAATAAATTACACTTTCCCCCTGTGTTCCTTCTTCACTTTATTGAACCTTTCTCCGGAGTATAATTTCTTAGTGTTATAGTCAGAGCCCCAATTTCTGTGCAGCCAGACCCTCAGGAGACCTTTTGTTAACCCCCAGCTCAATTAGTCCCAGTTCTATCATTAACCTGCTCTGTGAACTTGAGACATGAATGATTTCTGAGATCACTTCCAGCTTAAAGTTTCTGTAGTTTAAGCTACTCTGCCTGTGGCACTTTGTTAGTACAGTCCTAGCAGACTAATAAGGGGGTAACGGTAAGAAAACACTACTTCATCATCTGAACTCACTGGTATAGCTGATTAGCTACAACTAAGCCTGGGCTCTTCCTGGTCAGGATCCAGCTTCTCCAGACATTAAGAAGACAGTATTTCTAAAAGACTATGATCTCTAGAAGAAAGGTTGTGTTCAACATCTTCTGTGTAAGAAACCGGAGAGCATGTTCATGTCATTAATTATGCGTGGTTCCCTAAGAGTTAAGCTTTGGGGCTAGAAGCTGTGCTTCCTGCCGATGCAAAAATGCAAAAAAAGAGAGATTACCACAAAACAGAATACTTTGTGCTTGGTATCAGTAAGCCCTCTGCCAAATCAAAGCGTTATCTAGAAACTATGTATTTGGGATCTTCTTTGAACTTGATAAAACATTTTTTTGCCGTATGGAAATGCAGGTTGGAGGGCGCCCTCGCCACGTGGCCACTGGATGGCAGGGCAGAGCCATCCTTGGGGGCACCCGCGGAACAAAGCGCGCAGCCGCCAGGATGTGGCGCCACAGATAGGCGGACAGTCCACCTGCTCTAG